TCAAGTCCCTGTGGTGTGGAGAAAAGTGTTGAATTGAGCATAACAGACTGGTGGTCAAGTTTTAGATCTAGTAGTGTGATTTGGGGCAAGTGATCTAAGCTCTCCAATCCTCATTTTCTTCATTTGTTAAAAGAGAGTGGGGATAGTCCCAGCAGCACAGGTTCCTTGATGCCTGGCTGAGGAGCAGAGATGAAATGATGTCTGTAAAGCCTGTTGCAGCCCATGGGCACAGAAAGTGCTCAGTCAGTAGGAGAAGGTGGAGGAGCAGGGGGAGGTCTGGAGCGATACTTATGTTGGAGGAAGGAAGAGTATCAGGACCTGGGTTCCTGGCTTGGTGTAAGAACCAGAAGTGGAGGCTGAGTGATTCTTTGTGAGTGGGAGTTCAGTAGTTGTCACTGGTTTTTTTCATCTCTTCATTGAGGGGCACCCTTAAAGAGGCCAGGTTAGGTATAGGGGAGACCGTGTCCTTTGGTGGGCAAGGATGCTGCTCTGTGACTTGGACCCATATATATGATCTTGTTCCATTGTTTGCTGCCAACCGAGGCGTTCCCTCATCTATAAAATGGGGATGGCTGTGACCTTCCTCTTGGGCAACTGTAAAGTGAAGGATAATACATCCAAAGTACTTGGCACAGTGCTTAGCATACAGTGAGTGCTCAGTAAAGGGAGCTGTTGCTGCCTGTGTGGTCCCTGCTAGGGGAGGGTGAGGCTTTGGCTGGGAGAGTGAGGACAGCCTGTCCCCACTGATGTGGGGGTTCTTCTCACTTTTGGGGAGGGCAGCCCAGGGGCCCAGGAATGCCAGGGTATCATGGGCCCAGGGCAGGCGCTAAGAGTCGCGTGTGCTCCTCTCTGATTGCTGCGCAGGTCGGCCGGCTGGCGGAGCTGGGCGCGGCGTCGGGACGGGCCACCGGGCCGGGCTAGGAAGGTGTAGTGGGCCTCAGCGCCGCCAAGGGCGGGCCCGGCTCCTGTAACCGTTGCAGTCTTCTGTCCCTTCACCCAGGTGGGCAAGCGCAGAGGCGGAAACAAACTAGCCCTCAAGACGGGAATAGTAGCCAAGAAGCAGAAGACGGAGGATGAGGTGAGCAGGCTGGGTGTGGGGGACCACCCGCAGTGCCTTTCCCTTCTAACCTCAGTGCCTGGCTGCAGAGCCCTTTCCCCCTGTCCAGCACCCGGGGCCTTGGATGGGGGGCTAGGTGGGGGAGGAGGGCTTTCAGCAGGATCCTCAGATAAATTGGGTCTGCATATCTTTACCTCAAACCCAGGACCTTAAGGGTGACATGGGCTGTGGGGGGGAGTGTGGGGGGTGTCAGCTGTCTCAGGACAGTCCTGACCCCAGTTCCTGGCCTCCTTGGTATCCCCTTGCAACCCCTCTGTGCCCCCACCCACAGGTATTAACAAGTAAAGGTGACGCATGGGCCAAGTACATGGCAGAGGTGAAAAAGTACAAAGCCCATCAGTGTGGCGATGACGATAAAACTCGGCCCCTGGTGAAATGACCCCCTTCCCCGCCTGCCTACGGCCTGGGACTCTCTGCGATGTACATAACTATTTAATGCAGCGGCAGCGGCGGCAGCCTTTCCCCCCCAAGGACTTCTACACAGAAGGAAATCGAGATGCTTCCCGCAGCCGCGGACGATTCTCCAGGACTCTTTTTTACCTTGAGCACTTGCCTCCTGAGACTTCATAGAACAGTGGTTTACTGTCCCCTCTTCTCCCACCTCCTTGCTCTCTCTGGCTCTTTCTGTCTTCCTCCCCCCCCCACCCCCCCCACCCCTCCTTAGCCATCACTTCTGGGAAGTAAAGAACTTGACTTAGTGCCGAAAGCTGTTTGCCTTCTTTATTCTCCACCTTAAGTACCCCCTCCCCCCATTGCCTGGTCCTGTACCTGGTCCTGGGTCTGGCTCAGTGAGGGGGTTATTTGTGGGCATGGGGAGGACAGGGGTGCCTCCCCTCCTGTCAGCCTGGACTCTCCTCAGGACCCATTTCTCCCTACCCCTGACGGAGCCTCAGGATTGCTCCTCATGTTCAGCATTCCATCACAGCCCCATTTGGCTGGGCCAGAACTGTCTGTTCATTCAGCACACTTGATGGGTGCTTGCAGTGTGCTGTTCTGGGCCCTGGAGCCAACAGTGAACAGTACAGACCATGTATACTCTCAGCCCTTCTAGAAGGAAACAGACAAAAAGGGGAAGCCATTTTGGGAGATGACTGGGAAGAAGTACAGGATCGGGGCTAGTGGGAGAGTGTCTATTTCTCTTGACATCTGATTTGAGTCCTGAAGGAGGTGAGGAAGCAGGTGGAGGGAACAGCCAGTGTAAAAACAGGTGGAGGAACATACGGCCTTTGTGGGGAGCTTTGAGGTGGCCCACATGATTGGACCTGAAAAGTGCGGACGGTGTGTAGATTATATGCTAGGGTATTGTATGCTAGGGTTTGGATTTGGGACTTCATTCTTAGAAGAAGCCTTGAGGGGGCAGTATGATATGAGGAGCAACAGGTTTTGTGTTTTCTATCTTAACAGGCCCCCTCTGGCTCCTGGGGCAGAACCTGGAGATGAGGCTGGGCCATGATTAGAGGAGGGGAGGTGGTGGAGTGTTGGCAGTTGAAGAGGGCTGGGTCTGGATTCCAGTGGGGCTCCTCTGTCCTGCCAGCTACTTGCCCCTCCAGTGAGGCTGGGTTGACTCCACCCTTATGTATATACGATCAGAAGTAGCACAAACGCCACCTGCAGAACATGATTGTTGACATGTCTGGGGACTGGGTGTCCTAAAGGAAGCCTGACTCCTTTAGTATTCTTTGTACTTTTGTGCCTTCCTGGAAACTGCCTGGCTGCCTGTTCCTCACTGAGGCCGCAAATGTTTTAAGATGTCCCTGCCTCCCAAAGCTCCCTTCTCAAACCTGCTAGACCTAGGAGCAGCATCTGGGTCCCCCAGCCATGGGCCTACCTCTCAGGCTTTCCCATGCAGGAATGCTGAGCTGCTCGGCATCCCTGCCCATCCCAGAGTTCTGGTTCCCATTTCCTTACCAGGACCATGGTGGCCGCCTGGGACCTGTGTAGGAAGAGGGAAGAGGGCTGAGGTGTATAGTACTAACCTGGCCTCAGCCAGATCCACCCTGTGGGGGATGGGGTAGGCATTCCAAATACGGAGACTGAAACAGGCAAAACTCCTTGTTCTAGTGAGACTAACATTCTAGTTGAGGAAACAAATGGGAAACGAAATGGAACACAGAACACATCAGATGGTTATACATTCTATGGGGGAAAAATTATGAAAGGAGAACGGAAATGAGTGGGAGAGATGGCAATTTTAAGTTATCAGGGATGGCCTCCCTGAGAAGGTAACATTTGTCTTAAGTTCTGAAAGCAGTAAAGATGATCCTTGGAGGTGTTCAAGGCCAAAGAAAGGTACAAAGACCCTGAGCTGAAAGCTGGACTGGCTTGTCAAAGAGAAACGCCTAAGCAGGCTTTGGAACAGGAGACTTGCATCTCACTTCTGGCTAACACACTAAGGCTTGTCTGATTTATTTTCCACATTGGCTCAAAGCTATCTCCCTCCTACTTTGGGGATGATGAGCTGGCCCAGGTGGAACTTTAGCCTTGGGGATGTGGTGTTGGGGGAGGGGACATAGGCAGCCAATGGTGCCAACCTTACCTCCTCCCTCAAAGGCACCAGAAGCCGCTGGATCTTTAAAAAGAAACACAAGTGGGAGAAGTAGGTCGCCCCTGCAGCAGCTCAGCCTCTTTTCTGGAGTGTCAGGAGGCAGGAGGAGCTGATGGAGTCCCAGCATCCCCCTTCACTGCATTCACCAGTCCTGACCTGGGGAAAGTCTGAAGGGGGAGAATCAAAATCAGGGTTTGGTGAGTCACATAGCCGTGGCTTCAAACTATTCTGGTGCATGTTAGTTGTGTGATCTTGGGTAAGTCACTTAGTCTTTCTGTGTTTCAAGTTCTTTGTGTATACAATAGGGATAAAATATGGAAGCATCTCCAGAATCAAGTTCTAAAGTAATGGCAATATTGAAGTCAAAACAGCCGTCATTGTTTCTCCGGGTGAAGTAATTGGCTTGAGTTGGTGGGGGGGATGTGTTTGAAAAAGGGTGACCTTTAAAAGGGGGTGCTGTGTGAGGAGATGCTCAAGCAGGGAGGCTGTTGTAAAGGGAGAGGCCTTTGTCTCCCATCTCAGATTCACGGTTGGGCACCAGTTCCTTGAATTGTTTTCTGCACTGGGTGCTTCTAGTTGGGAGTAAGTTTGCTGTATACAGGGCTGTTATGAGAACTACATTTGGAAACTGCCTGACAGGCTGTAAAGTAGGTCCTTAGGAAGTTGGAAGATGGGGTGCCTGGTTGTCTCAGTCCGTAAAGAGTGTGACTCTTGATCATAGGGCCGTGAGTTCAAGTCTCACACTGGACATGGAGTCTACTTTAAAAAAGAAAAATAAATAGGGAAAAAGCCTGGATTCAGTACTCAAATCCAGTGGCTGGGGGCAGGAAGAAAGACTTCCATAATCACGAGGGCCAGTACCGTGGACCACAAAGACAGCAGGGGTCACTCTCTTCTGGCTGACTCCTCTCCCCGGAGGCTTGCGAAGGACCGCTGGAAAGGACATATTAAAAGGAGAGGGTGAGCATTAAATTCTTCGCGCATCTCCAGCTCTCCCCACCTGACCCTTATCTGGGGCAACTCCCAGGCCTGAGAAGAAAACTTCTACTGTTAGCACCCCCTCCCGAAACTTCCAGTCCAGTCCTTCAATGTCACTCTTCCTTTGGCTCAATGCTCACCTCTGGGGGTCTCCAGACCCCCGGGTTTTGAGTCACAGCCTGAGTCTGTGAGCGCGGTGACGGGGGCGCACGGTGAGATGGGATTTGTAGTTTTAGGGCCTCAGGGTGTGCGAGGGGAGGCCATTGCGCATGCGCAGGCGGCGGCTTTCTGCACGTGTCTCTCTAACCGGGTTCGGTCTGGTAAAGGAGGAAAACCCGGTTATTCCTTTAGCGAGTCTTCCCTGACTCTCCGAGTGGCCTTAGGCGCCAGCCGACCCTTCCCGAGTCTGGAAGGCCCCGGTGCTGGGAGCAGAGGTCTTAGGTACCTGTTTTTCATGAATGAACGGAGGGGGACGGACTGCTAACGCGAAGTAGGCTGAGACACCTGTCCCCTTCCTCCAGGCTGGAGCAAAAATTGACCTGTCACAACTGGAGCCAAAAAGTCCCTCAGGGCGGGGCTGGGATGTCCTTGGGGATTAGAGGCCTCGTTGATTAAATTCAGTAAATATTGGCTTAGGGTGTGGCTGAATACAGTGAAAGGATGGCCTTGAGCCTCTGCCGGTAAAAGCCAAGTTTTTAAAGAACAACTTACGGCAGGCCTGGTAATGCTTAACTTGATGATCTCTAACCTCACAAACTATTTTTATACCCATTTGGCAAGTGGGGAAACTAAGACTCCCAAGTGGCGGGAGGTTGTCCACCTGTTTATCAGCCTGGCCAGGAAGTGGGGAACCGAGGTCTCCAGCTCCTCCCTCCTCCGCTGCTCCACTCTTAAAAGAGGTGCCCTACTTTGTCCTCAGATGGCGCGAGGATTACGAAGATGTCTTTCATCATGACCCTGCCCTTGCCTAGATTTCCTGGGCTGTTTCACCTCACTCAGCTTCAGGTAGGGAAAGAGATTAGGCCTTTCGTTTCAGCGTTTATTCATCTCGTTTAGAATTTTATATCCTTGTGGGTTTCTCTCATATCCTTGTAAAAAGTATCAAACTGTTCTGGAAAATAAAACAAAATGTGGCAGAGGCTATCTTAGGCACTCCCTTTGTCTGGCTCGGCCCTTCCTTTGTCTGGGGTCTAAAATCCACGCTAGGCTCAGTCCCCTCCGATCTTTCCTTGAGGACACCTCCTGTACTCTTCCAGGTACCTTCCGGATGCGAGGGAAAAGGCAGAGTTGTATTCGTAAAGAAGGGGGTGAAAGGCACAACTGGCTGTGGCCGAGAGGTCCCCGGGCCTACCACATACCGAAAGTCCCCCTACGCGCCACTAAACTCAGCTCCCAGCAAAGAGCTACTGTCAGGCGGGCGTGAGAGACCCTGAGAAAACGAGACGCCGGGAAGACCGAACGGCCAGAGAGCCCAGGCGAGCCGCCAACACTTCGGTCACGTGACCCGGTCTCGGCGGGGCCTGGGTCTCCCCGGAGCCGGGCCACGTGTTACGGCTGCGCCTTCCGATTGGCTCTGCTGGGCCAATTTGAACGGCGTACGGAAGCCGCCGCGGCTCATCCACGGCCGCGTTTTTTTCTCTCTCTTTTTTTTATTCCCTCTTTGGCTCCCTCCTTCCGCGCGAGTCTCAGGAGAAGCCGCAGCGCACGGCGCCGCTGCTGCCACCCGGGGCCCGGTAAGTGGGCCTTACCCGAAGCCCGACCGGCCCGGCCCGGGCTTGCGTTGACCCCCGCCGGGCTCCGGGTCAGCGCCGCGCGCGGCCCGGCCGTCGGGGCCGCGCCTGACCGGGAAAGGCCGAGAACCTGGTTTGGGCCCCATTCGCGAGGCAACGAGAACGGGCCGGGGCGGGGGAGGGGGAAACCGAGCCGGGCTTAGGGGGTGGGGCCTCGGAGCCGGGCCAGACCCCGGTGCCTCGAGAATCGGGCCAGTGGGGCGGCTGGGATCGGGCTGGAGGGGATCTGGGGGAAGCGTCTGGGGACTCCTTCGGGCCTGATTGGGGAACGTCGCGAGGATCGGGTGTGTGTGTGGGGATATTTCGGCGGGGTTTTGGTTGGGTCTGGTTGGGAGAGGCCGCATTTAAAAGTTGGGGGTCTTCTTGGACCCTGACCGGGAGGGGCGTCAGACTTCGTTCTAGAGGGCTTTGCTGGGTCTGACTTCGAGGTGTCGCTAGGATCCGTTGGGGGGAATGCTCCGTGGGGTGTTCGTCCAGGCCTAACTGGGGGAAGCTGCAGACATCGGACGAAGTGGGTTGCCGGCTCGAGGTGGTGGGGGGCTTGGCCGAACTTGATTGGGGGAAACAACAGAGATCCGCCAGCAGGAGTTAATGCTGACTGGGGCTGGAGGCAGAAGGTGGGGGGTGGGGGGAGACTTGGCCAGACCTGATTGGGGAAAGGGACGGGGACCGTCCAGGGGTCAGATTTAGCAGGGTGGTCGGGCTTGGCTGGCTAGCCTTTGGAGAGGCAGCTCGGACCTGTCTGGGGATTGCTTCGGACCGGATGAAGAGGAATCTCGGATGGGGTCTGGCTAGGCCAAAAAGGAGGAGCGTCTGGCATCCGGCTCAGTTTGGAGGGATGGATTAGGGGAGGTGGCAGGGATCCGGACGATTGGAGCACCTTGGGACTGTGCATCTGGGAGGCTTGGGGGCCAGACCGAGGAGGAGGAGGCAGCTGGGCTGTGGCGGGGCTTGAGGGCTGGATTTCGGAAGAAGAGCGTTCTCTGGGGTTGGGAACTGTGCCTGGACCAGGGAGACCACGGGGGCCGGGGGGCCGGGGAGCTATCGTGGTCTGGGGCAGGGCCCCTGGGTGGATAGGTGGCTGGCGCCTTGCCTAGCGGGTGTGAGGCTGGCGGAAGCTGTAACGCCTGCAGCCGGGGGAGGCGGCATGGGCCGCCCTGGGATGAAAGCTCCGTGCGGGGCCCAGTGAGGACCCGCCGAGCCCTGCCACTGCCTCCTGTGGCCTTCCATATCCCTCATATCCCCTCACCTGTGTTTCCGAGACTGCGCCGACATGGATGGCGCAGCTGGCGGGGACCCCGCACTTGGGCTGGTGTGGATCGGCGGCCCCCGCCTGTCCGCCGAGGGCGCTCCCGCCGTGTGGCCGCTGCAGCCACCTCCACCGGGGCTCCGGATCTCACATGGGGCCCTTGGGACCCTGCGCTGACCCTGGCCCCTACCCCGCAGCTCATCCTGCGCCATGGACTGGCAGCCAGATGAGCAGGGCCTGCAGCAGGTCCTGCAGCTGCTCAAAGACTCGCAGTCACCCAACACAGCCACGCAGCGCATCGTGCAGGACGTATCCTTCCTTCCTTCCTTCCTTCCGGGCCTAGGGGGAACAGGGCAGACGTCTGCAGAAGGGGCTCCCTAATTCCCAGATTCTCTTATGGCAGGAGCTAGCTTTGGCAGAGAATTAGGGATTAGAATTTTTGGGTCCCATTTCCAGAGGAAATGTGGCCCTGTGGGGGAGGGGGGAACACTAGCTGGCACGTGGTTTTTGTTTAGGTTCATGGTTAAAATGTCTCTTTCCCAATTGATGCTTAAAACTCTGTAAGTTAAAGTTGAAGATATTTAAACTATCAGCAAGTTTTACTTAAAAATGTAGATTCTCTTTTCTTTCTTTTTCTTTCTTTTCTTTTCTTTTCTTTTCTTTTCTTTTCTTTTCTTTTCTTTTCTTTTCTTTTCTTTTCTTTTCTTTTCTTTTTAAAAGGGCAACATGGGACTTATGAGCAGGACTGAGTAGCAGTGGTTCTCACTGCTGCGGCCAGGCCTCTCAAGAGTGCATGGAAAGCTCAGGCGTGCTCTCCCACCCACTGGGGGACTTTGATGTGCCTGCAGCGCTGTGTTTCCTGGCATGGGGGTTGACAGGTGGCGTCTCAGGAGCTGTCCCCTGGTCCCGGTGGTCAGAGGGACTTTTAGCTACATGGCAGTGAAGGGACCCACTGGGGGAGGGGAAGGCCCTTGTCTCCCAAGTCCCTTAACAACCCGGCAGAAACTCAAACAACTGAACCAGTTTCCGGACTTCAACAATTACCTGATCTTTGTCCTGACCAGACTCAAGTCGGAAGGTATGCTCCCGGTGCCCCTCCACGCGCGGGCTAGATCCCGCTTTCTCCCCTGTGCTCCCCTGACCCTCAGCCCTCCTCCCCCAGATGAGCCAACTCGTTCCCTCAGCGGTCTCATCCTCAAGAACAATGTGAAGGCACATTACCAGAGCTTTCCGCCCCCTGTGGCCGACTTCATCAAACAGGAGTGTCTCAACAACATTGGCGATGCCTCCTCACTCATCCGAGCTACCATAGGTGAGAGCGGGAGTCGGCTGGTGATGACTCCCTGAGTTCTTCCTCTCAGCCAAGGAGCTTTTCGACACATTAAGGGTGTCAGTCACTGACTGCTCCGGTATCGTGGATGGTAGGACTGTCAGTGTTGCCATTTTACAGATGAGGACACTGAGACGCAGAGATGTTAAGGGACCCGCTTGGTAAGTAGCAGAGCTCAGAAGCCACCAGTGCAGGTCTGTGCTCTGAACCACTCCCTCCTGACACAGCTCTTGCCACTCTGGAGGCAGTCACTCAACGTCCAGACCTCTGCTTCGGTCCTGACGGTGCAGCACATTAGAAGGCCACAGCCCCCTGTCCTCTGGAGTTTGTTGTCCTCAGCTAACTCACCAATAACGATGAGGTGAAATGGGAGTGTGTTTTGTGTATGGAGCCTTCCTGACTCCCGACGGGCTGCCTGAGTAGTTAAAGAAGGAAACACCAACTCAGTTCTTTGTTACCGACTTGCCTTTTTTTTTTTTTTTTTTTTTAAGATTTTATTTACTCATGAGAGACACAGAGAGAGACAGAGACATAGGCAGAGGGAGAAGCAGGCTCCCCGCAGGGAGCCCAATGTGGGACTCAATCCCAGAACTCCAGGACCACGCCCTGAGCCAAAGGCAGACGCTCAACCATTGAGCCACCCAGGCGTCCCTCGACTTGCTTTTTTGCCCACCTTGACTGAGATGTAGTTGACATGTAACTGATTTATATTTTTATTCTTTAACATCAACTCTTAAAAGTTGCATTTAGAAGGAAAATGTACATGACTTTTAAATTTGCTTGCTGTAAAGGGAAGGTAGCCATAAAACCATGCAATAAAGAAAAAAGTAGTATGAAATTTGAACTAGATACGGGGCTTGCTAGAAGTGCTGGTCTTGGGGCGTGTTACCCTGAGCCCCGACAGTGCCCCCTGTGAGACCAGCAGAAGGATCTGGACTTCCCGAGTTTGCTAGGTAGCCAGGTTCAGCTCTGACTGTCTGAATTAAGATATTGAAACTTCCAGTCGCCCAAGGGGCCCTTTGCCCCCCCCCCCCCCCCCCCCGTGGAACTACAGAGAGGTTAGGCCATGTGGCCAAGGTTGCACAGACCGGGATGGGACTGGGACTGCATTCCCAAGTCCCCACAGTCTCCCTAGTGCAGGTGACACCTTTCCCAGCAGCAGGAGCCAGGGTCATCTGGAGTCATGGCAGTGGCAGCGTTTCCCCAGCAGGGGGGAATGGCTTTGAATATCTTCCCTGGCTGCCTTCACCTGAATTCGGCTCAGCTGCCACACCGCCTCTGTCTTCCACACTGCACATGCCTATTGCAGGCTGCTCTTGGGCTTCTGTGCAGCAGTACAAGTCTCCCCAGGGCTGTATGGCCCACCTCAACCTGCACTTGTCACCTCTCGGCCCTCATCTCCCACTCATCTCCCCCACCCCCGGTCCCCGCTCTGCTCAGCCCCTGGCTCCTCATCTATCTTGGAGCACACCTGGCTTTCTCCTGCCCAGGCCTTTGCACCTCCCATTCCCTCTGCCTGGGATGCTCTTGCCCCAGGGAGTTGGATAGCTTCTCCTTCATCTCCTTCAGGTCTTTGCTCAGATAGCAAGGTATCACCTGGGTAAGCCTGCTCTGGCCGCCCATTTTATTTTATTTTTACTTTTAAAGATTTTATTTATTCATGAGAGACCGAGAGAGAAGGAGGCAGAGACACAGGCAGAGGGAGAAGCAGGCTCCATGTAGGGAGCCTGATGTGGGACTCGATCCCAGGACCGCAGGGTCATGCCCTGAGCCAAAGGCAGACATTTAACCACTGAGCTACCCAGGTGTCCCATGGCCACCCATTTAAAAATGGGGCAACTGGCTGGCTCCATCAGAAGAGCATGTGACTCATGATTTCAGGGTCGTAAGTCCAAGCCCCACATCAAGTGTAGAGATGACTAATAAAAAAAAAAAAAACAATAAACAAACTTAAAAATATATGAAATTGCTGCCCTCAACCTCTGCTCTTCCAGCTCTCTTCTCTGCTTTATTTTCCCCCTTAGCTTTTGGGATCTAGCCTCCTGGGTCTTTTGCTGATTTATTTTT